GCCGGCGGCTGGTGGCCCTTCGGGGAGAGATCGAGCCGTTCCCTCGGGGATGAGCAGGCGGCCCAAGGCGGACGGAAGTCCCGGGTTGGGTGCTGGAGGTCCGAGGGGTGGGGGAACCTGGGGATGTCTCTCTTGGGGGTGGGAGGGAATATCCGAAAAGCCCCTTGGGATGGATGGGAGGAGGGGATAGGGTCCAGAGGGGTGATGGAGGTGACCCCTATTGATTAGGGGCCGGGCTCCACCGTCAGTTTGGGGGATAGGGGAATAGGATCAGCAGAGGCCATACTCCATGTTAGAAGAGGGAGCTTTGCATTGGCTGCAGCGGGGGTGCAGGGATCGAGGGTGCAAGGATTAGGGGCATTGTCACCGGATGGGCGAGAAAGGGAAGCGGAGTCACTGATGGGCAGTGACCCCGTATCATGACCCATCAGCTCTGTGAGGGCACGCATGGACTCCCCTAGGTTAGGACTTAAGGGGTAAGCTCTGAGTTGGCCACCTAGGCACCTCTGACATTGAGTTAGGGAGGACCTGGGAGCTCTGGAATTGTCAGTTGAGTGAACCCTTGAGTGGGAAGAGGCCATGCTCCAGAAAAGAGTTCATTTAGAGAGAAAAAAATAATAATCTCTTCCTGTTTGGGTGCAGGGAGTGCGCCCTAAAAGTGCCTGTTTTGTGGACCTGGCACATGACTCCTTCCACCACTTTGGATATTGGGGACAGATCTGTGGCTTCGGCTTGGAAGACCCTCATTGGTTGAAGGTGGGAGTGGGAAGAGGCTCAAATGAAAGAGTGTGCCTGGTTGGCAAAGGGAAAATGAGCAACCAACCCCCCCCCCCTTTTCTTGGCTGGGCAGGAGAAGAATAATTTTGTTCCACTCTGCGGGTGGAATGAAATTCTTTCAGTCCCAAGATAGGCCAAAGGAAGCAGCACTTATTTTGAGACTGTGTTCCTTTCACTACTCCCTTGAGATGGGTCAGAGCCTCAGATCAGCCAGAGTCACTCGCAGGGTTGACATCCAGGGTTAGGCTAATGAATACTCCCCAGAGGCTCTAGGGCCAGGGTAGTGGACATTCAGGCTTTGGGGAGACTGAGTGCCCTCTTTTTCATGAGGGTGCCTTTAGGGTACCTGGTAGTGGAATTGCCCAAGGAGATTTTTCCAGGAAGGTCTCTCCTCTGATGGAGGGAGCAAAAAGAACCACAACAGGAAAGAATCAGAGGCCTGCAGCCCCAGTACCCAAATCCTCAGGCTGTTTGAGGCTGCAGCAGTCTTGGGAAAGGTTGGTGACCTAAGTGGATCAGAGTGGGAGGAATCCTCCTTTCTGAGGTGTTGTTCATCCCTCTAGCTCCCCTAGTATCCCAGGAAGCCAGTCTGGTCTGATGGTGAGAGCTGGGAGAGGAGGGAATAGGATGGAGGGATCTAACTGAAGTGACCTTTGATACTTAAAGCATTGAGAGCTTCCTCAAAGTTAGGGGACACCTTAATATCCTTGCCTGGATTTTGGTTTCAGTTTGAACAGGGCTGAGTCAATTAGTTTACAAAGACACTGCCATTAGACACACCCAGGAGAGAGAGAAGCTGGGTCAGGCTAGACAGCTGTGGCAACTTCCTATCAGAATAACACCCTTCCAGGTTGCTGTGTACTAGGGAGTACGGTGGTGGTGTGGCGGCGATGTTGCCACCCAGCCCTGTTTGCAATCACTCTGAAGTTTGGCTTCCTATAATCCGGTTTAACAGCTACTTAATTCTAACTTCTTGAAGCCCTGCCAGTTGAAGAGTGTTTCATGAATGCTGTGTCAGTCAGATGAAACATTGTCAGCAGCTGCCTAGAGGAATATTAGAACGATTGGTATGGTTTAGATAACATAACAGGCCTGGAGATGCCCTGAAATGGACTTCCCGTAGCTGCTTTGTCTGTTTATTCAACAAATATTACACATCTCATTGTAAGTGGTGAATAACACAGGCAGGCATTGCTCTGTCCTTGAGGGGCTTCCGTTGTAGGGGAAGAAGACCATTAGGAGAGTAAATAAGTAGGATGTGTCAGATAACAGTGGGTGCTATGAAAGGAGGAGGGTCGTGTGATAGACGTTTCTAGAGAGGTGCTTAAGGATGGCTTCTATGAGAACATGCCATTTGAATGGAAGCCGGGACTGAAGGAGCCAGGACAGAGGGGGGCCAGTGAGTGCAGAAGTCCTGTAGTGGAAATGAGTTTGAGGTTCTGAAAGAACAAAGGGCTGTAGCCAGGAAGACTTGATCAGGAGAGGAGTTAATGAGGCATAGGTGTAGAACAGTACCTGGTATGAGGTCATCATTCGGTAAATGACCGTCAAATGAATGAGTCTTAAAAAGCAGAAGAGGGATGACGTCTGACCTGTGCCCCTTAGCAGTGAAGGGAAAGTCTTAAGAATGGAAGCAGAGACTTAGGTAAATGGTGTGGCTGTCCCTCCTCTTTCTAACCCTCTGCCTTTAGGGGTGGACGGGCCCTGAGGCCTTCCTTAGTTAGGTACAGAGTAAGCCTCTTGCTTACTCGCTGCCTCTGCTTGCCAGGAAATAGCTGTGAAGCCTTTGAGCTCGTATAGAGCAGGACTTGGGTTTTCTGGTCACAGCTCTCAGCACTTAGCTGCAATTCCCTCCCTCCCCCTGTGGTTCTACAGTGTGTGATTGTGCAGAGATCTAGAGGTTAGAGCTGTAAAGAGCACTGGAACCTCTCCAGAGGGCTGTGCTGTCACAGGTGACTTCTTCCTTCCTTGGCCAGGATTGCAGGACCGCACAGAGTGACTGTTGGGTGCCGGGTCCCTCCCCTCACCCAGCAACCTTTGGGATTCTGGTCCATTTAACCAGAAAAGAAGTGTCAGAAGGGTTACCTTGGTTGGGTGTGGCTTTAGATTTGCCTCTATCAGAAGGGTCTTGTTCAGCTTAGGAGAGTATGACAGTAGAGGCAGTAGAGGTTAAATAGTTTATTTTTCCATTCTGTTCAGCAGTGCTCCCCAGAGACAGCTGGAGGTGGGGGGTGAGCAGAATCTGTGGTCCCTTACCTGGTCTCAGTTCCATATGTCTCCGTGTGAGCATCTTGCTGTGCTGACTGTAGTTATTAATGAGGTGCCCTTTCCCCACCCCCCAAAACAAGAGAAGTGTTTTATGTTCTGCTCAGCTGAAGAAACATCAGGCTGCTCTGTTGATGGAAGGATCCCCCTAGGTGGTGCATGGGGTTCAGTACTCCCCTGAAAGTTTGGTGGTTTAGACCTCCCAGAGACATCTCAAAGGACAGACCTGGTCATCTGCCTTTTGCTAACTCTATGGGGCAGTTCTGTTCTGCACTCAGAGCCTTGACCCTTCACTGTGACTAACGAGATCTAGTGCTCCTTTAAGGTGTTGCCAGGTTTACCGTTTCTCTTTCTCTTAACCTTAAAACCATCCTCTCCCCTCACCACAGTCACTTTCATTCTCTGTCACTTTGTATCTCTGCCTCTTCCTCCATCGCTCTTTCCTATTTCTCCCTCTTCTTCCATTGAATTTAGTGCTCCAGTTTTGATAATAGCAGAACATACAGTGTGATGTCTGCTTTAGTTTTGAAAAGTCCACATTGAAGTACAGGGCAGTACATCTGGTGAAGTAAATATTTCAGTACCCTTTTATATATGTTGTTGTGTACTGTAGAGTCAGAAGTGACCCAATAGCTAACACTCTGGCTGATTTTCAAAAACAGTTAATCACATGGGAGGAGATTGCCCATCCTTTTCCCATGGAGTAGCTGGTGGCCTTGAACTGCGTGCCTTCTCAATTGCAGCACACTTCTTGGCCACTAGGCCACCAGGGCTCCCTCCTTTTATATGTGTTGTTGATTGCTGTGGAGTCTAGCATGACTCGTAGCGACCTATGAACAAAATACCTGAAGCCTGTCTATAACTATTGTTGTTTCTCAAAGTTCATAGTTTCCAAAGATATATTTTTTAGAAATTGGATGCCACTCCTGCCAGATAGATAGATAGATATTTGTTGTTGATTGCCATTGAGTTGAGCACTATACTCTTAACTCTATGAACAAAAGACCTAATGCCTTTCCATATAACTATCATCATTTCTCCAAGTTCATAGAGTTTCCAAGCATGTGGTTTAGGAAGTGGATGCCACTCCTGCTTCCAAACATGTTTTAAAACTGGGAGCTCGACCAAACACTCTTTCCATTCTGGTTACCATTCTGGTATTTGATACCCCAGTGGTACAAGGTTCAGCATCACAGCAAACCCAGGTTACTTTGTACAGAACATTGACAATGAGTGATGTACAAAGTGAAACAGTGTTTCTCCAGATAGAACAGCACTAGTTTCTTTTAGCAGTGGTTATGTGCCTTCATAGTAAGCTTTGCACAAAAGACTTGAACTCTGTCTATAGCTAACATCATTTCTGTACATTTATAGAGTTTAGAAAGTTTGTAGAGTTTCCAGAGGCATCTAGTTTAGGAAGTGGATGCCACTCTTGCTTCCCGCTTTTATATATAGTGCCTTTAAAATTTTCCAGATAGCTTTTGAGTTACATGTATGTCTTTTAACTCTCTGCAGCCCATAAGCTAACCAGGTGAAGTTCTGTTACCACAGTGTGACAAGAGAGAACCAAAAGTGGACAGAGTTTGGTGGCTGGCTGAAGAGTGGTGACCCTC